GAAAGATGAAGCCGCGGCTTTCCGCAGAGTCTAGAAATGCACCTGGCACACAAGAGATACTCAGTCCACAAAAAAGTAGATACTGAAGACGTGAGCGAATGCAGTAGGATTAACAGATAACAGGAAAATAACTTCCTATTTTACTTCACTTCTTTTCCAAGGAGAACACTATGACACTTGAACCATTTGTAGGAGTTTCTAGCTGCTATATGATAATACAAATATCCAAGAACAGACATGTTAACCTACCAAGACATGGAAGCAGTTTGCAACTATAATAAGTAAAACAAGGTCACAAAAAAATAGGAAAAGTGCTTAAGGAGTAGAGATGGAAAATCTTGACCCAATTTTCAAAAAAAAAATAACCAAAAAAACCCAAACTGTTTTGAAAAAGTAGATTCTGGGCAAGCAGATTCGAGAGACAAGCAAAATTCTAACATTAATCATCAGGCATCATGTGCTTTGAGAACCAGCAGAAAGCACAGCAGCGATCACTAACACATGCCAAACTTAGTATTCTCTTTTCTTTGTTAATATTGGAAGCCTGACACAGAAAAGGAAAGCCACAAACAGGGCAGTAGCCAACGGAAAGTCACAGATGGAAGGAGAGTGGATTCATAGAATAACCAATCGATGCCAAATGCCGTTTCTCCACTTTATGTAAACAGTGATGATTTAGGCTCATTCCTATTCGAAATATTTTTCCCCATGAAGACTTAGATGAAAACAAAGCTATAAAAGGCAAGCTAACCATATACGTAACATAAAGCAGAGGACAATTAAAACACGGATGACAACTAAAAACTGAGAACTTGGTAGGCAATAAGAATTGGGCAAAACTAATGAAAATTTTTGGAATTCGGATACAGGGCTGCCACTGATCTGATTCTACATTTTTCCAGAGCCACGACAATCTCTACTCTAGCTGAGAGTCCCACCGGTGAGTTTTACTTTCCACCAGTTAAGTCATTTAGCTCATTCACAACATTAGTATTTAAAGCATTCCAAGATTCCATTCTAAACAGTTCCACATAAAATACTCTCATGGCAGGGACGCCTGGGTGGCTCAGTTGGTTAAGCATCTGCCTTCGGCTCAGGTCATGATCTTGGGGTCCTGGGATCCTTGGATCGAGCCCCACATCAGGCTCCCTGCTCAATGGGGAGGCTGCTTATCCCTCTCTCTGGGCCCCTCCCTCCCCGGTTGTGCTCTCTCATTTTCTCTCTTAAATAAGTAAAATCTTAAAAACAAACAAACAAACAAAGAAAAAAAACCTTTCATGGAATAGACCTGAAAGTCACCCAGCTAATAAGTCTTGAGTTTGAGGTAGGAAGTCTACCGAGTAAAAATGAGGTATACAATTTAGATAAAGACTATGCCAATCAAGTAAATTCCATTATGTAACACTGTATTAATTTAAATTTACTCTTACTTGGCATGCCTATTTTCTTTTTTTTTAACACTTAAAAATGTATACTTTAATAAGCATATAAACAATTAAGTAAGCTTGTGGAGAAGCTGACCAAGACACATATATTAGGAAATACAGTTGTCCATCTAAATTTTCTAGATTTCTTTTTTTTTTTTTTTTTT